AGTGCCTTTTGTTCTTACCGTCTTGGAGATGTTTGCTCAAGCCGAGGGGGAATCAGGCCTGATGGCCCCTCTGGCATTTCAGGGTTCAGCATTAGCCAGTCTGGGCCCCAGATAGCATGTTCTTACTGACTTGTATGCAGTTAATATCCAGATCTCTATGGGAGACATGAATCTGAGCCAGCTATCATTCCATAACCATTTCTGTTTTGTTTTGTTTTTTAATTAATAAACCCAGAGTGTAAACCGGTTGGCAATGGAAACAAGAAAAGTAATGAAAGGAAATCATTCCAGAAAGACGGCTGCATTTGTGCGGGTATGTTCTAGAGAGAAGACTCAGACTTTGAACCCTAATGAGTTGTTTGATTTGTAAGTTTCTAAATTGCTCTTCCCAGAAGACAAGTGTGTCCTAAGGGTGGTTCAGTATTGATTTTCCAGATGAACTTTTCCTTGAGTATCTACTGAGTCACCAATTTTCTTACTATTTTCAAAAGAAATGATCAAAGATGTCTCACCTTGGATATGTGTTATGGAGGAGTGGTTGAACGATGGATTGCAGTTTTGTGCCAGCCGAATTATCTCCTGCTTATGCCTGTAACTGGAAGGTCTACTACCTTCATCCCCCTGGAAAAGTTCTCAACTGTGAAAAAAAAATCCACCTTCTTGAGTGTGCCGCTCAAAATTTGTATCAAAGTAATACATATCTGTGTTTTTAAAAAAATGGAGTTGTACCAAAAAGAAGGCAGCAAGAAAAAAAGTATACCATCCCACCCTGACCTCATACCTCTTTCCTCAGAGACAACCACCTCAAACCCTCTTTGAGCAATTTCTTCTTGTAATTACCTCCATATTTTTAAGTAATTGGTTTCAGATTCTGCTTCTTATTCAACGTCGGGTGTTAATCTATTTCCTTCGATGATGGATGAGGATTTATTTTTCTTACACCCTTACTCTCCTCACTTGCCCCTCCCCGTCCTCCCACAGACACATCTGGAGTGTATGTCGCAGACTCAAGAGGGGAAAGTTGGGGCTCAGAATGAGGAGACTAATTAAGTGTTTTTGCTTGAAAATACGTGACGGATGAGAACAGGAGGACCAGTCTGCCGTGATGGTACTGCTGATGTAACCTGTGGTGTTTCTCCCCCTCCTTCTAGGCCTGTGTTGCCTACTGCTTCATTACCATTCCCTCCCTGGTGGGCATCTTCACGCGCCTCAACCTCTACCTGCATTCTGGTCAGGTTGCCTTGGCCAACCAGTGCCTTTCCCAAGGTAAGCCCGTCATTCTCACCTCTGAGCATTTCCTGGCTGCTTAGGAAAGCTGGCTCAGCTGTGTGTGTGTGTGCGTGCGTGTGTGTGCGTGCGTGTGTGTGTGTAAAGAGAGAGATTCTTTTAAGGAAAGAAAAAAATAACTGATCAATACCTGATGAGTTTTAAATCTGTTTCTTTAGCAGGAAGCACATTGGACATACACACCTTTATAGAATCAGACAGATTACAGAGGGAAGCTATTTGCCTGTAAGGACCTTCTGAAATCTGTCTCACACGGGCCAGGTCAGGCAGCTCAGGATAAGTGCGCGTAGAGAATGTTACAAGTTAGAACTACTTCCTCACAGTAGATTCCTGTTTATTTTTTGTTGATGTTTGTTTGTTTGTTTGAAACCCCAGAGACCTACACATAGAATCTAATAAGTATAGAAAGAATACTCTCCACAGGTTACTTTTAGTGATAAAAATTGTGCTCAAGGCCCATTCCTGTACTAGGTATAGGAGCCAACTGGTTTATTTGGGAGGCGATCCCCGAGAGTGTCCGTAGAGTGATGGGGGCGCTGAGACAAGGAAGGGAAGGAAGCCAACAAAAGGTGTGCTTCTGGGCAGGTTACTGCTGTGGGCGGCTGAGATATGTTCCCCCTGGGGACCTCTGGGACGGGTGTCGAACGGCCTCGGCACTGCCTTGCCAGGAGAATTGGGTTATTTACTCTTTATTCGGCCATTGACTGAGGGCTGCTTCTGGGTCATCAGCTGCACCCTGCCCTGTTCTCCACTTGACCCAAAAGAAAGCCCTCAGGCGGAGTGTTGGAGGTCGCACATATTTGCTACAGGAGGCGCTTGTCACCCCCTGGGACAGGAGGTATCCATCCATCAGGCCGAAACACAAAGAGTATAAGAGCTCCATTTATGGAGCATTTTTATGTGGCGAGCTCTTGGCACACACTCTTATTTCAACCTCCCGATGGCCACATGAGGCAGGCCTGGGGCTGGTGCCTGCTTTCCCAAGTGAGCCCCCAGGGCTCCGTGGCCAGCACTCAGCCCCTCATCTGTCCGACTCAAGGCCGTGCCTCTCACTGCCGACAGAGCATTTGCAGTGCCCACAATTGGGAAGCTTCAGTGACTAACTTGAGGGCTTCTTTGACACCAGTGGGTTGATGTTTTCAGTCATGGTCTGCCCTCCACTGCCATCTCCCACCTGACCTCACAGGATAAAGCCAAGGTTAGTGATCCACCACGTGGTGCCTTTGGTTTGGATAGGCTCCCTGGGTGGGTTGGAGAGTGGTCCTTGGCATGGCAGTTCTGGTATGTTGATCTGTATTTTCATTCACCTGGGGCAGTTCTGGGCACTGAGGTCTCCAAATATGATCGCTACCCATGAGCCTTTTCAAACTCCGCTTAATTTTGCTTCTGACTCCTGAGGACTCCAGTAGCCTCCCACCACATTTGGAATTGCATCCAACACCCTGCCTGTGAGTCCTCGTGTGTTCTGGTGCCTGCCTGCCTTTTGTCCTCGTCTTCCACCACACTTAAGCCACACTGGCCTTCTTCTGTTCTTTGAACATGCTAAGCTGTATTCCAGTTCAGAGTCTTTGTGCTTGCTGTTCCCTCTTTATAAAATGATCTTCCCCCGGGGGCTCCTGGGTAGCTCAGTTGGTTGAGTGTCTGACTCTTGGTTTTGGTTCAGGTCATGATCTCAGTGGTGGGACCAAGCCCCTCGTGCTGGGTGTGGAGTCTGCTTAAGGTTCTGTCTACAAAATAGATAAACATAAGGGAAGGGAAGCAAAAATAATATAAAAACAGGGAGGGAGGCAAAACATAAGAGACTTTTTTTTTTTTTTTTTAACGTTTATTTTTGAGACAGAGAGAGACAGAGCATGAACGGGGGAGGGTCAGAGAGAGGGAGACACAGAATCCGAAACAGGCTCCAGGCTCCGAGCTGTCAGCACAGAGCCCAGCGTGGGGCTCGAACTCACGGACCGCGAGATCATGACCGAAGTCGGCCGCTTAACCGACTGAGACACCCAGGCGCCCCAAGAGACTCTTTATAGAGAACAAACTGAGGGTTGCTGGAGGGGTTGTGGTTGAGGGGATGGGCTAAATGGGCAAGGGGCATCGGGGAGAACACTTGTTGGGATGAGCACTGTGTGTTATATGTAGGGGCTGAATCACTGGATTCTGCTCCTGAAATCATTGCACTATATGCTAACTAAGTTGGATGTAAATTAAAAAACAAAACAAAACACAACACCGGTCTGGCTGAATGCAGCTTCCTAGTCTCTCATGCTCTGTACCATCCCCGTGATCGTCATTATGCTGTTGATCTGTTGTTTTCTTATTGCATATGTTGCTTATTGTCTGGACATCCAGTCTCCCCACCTGCCCTTGTCGTGTGTGGGTAAACACTTCTAGTGCCTGCTTTGGTAAGGATGATGGGTTAGCAAGAAACAAGTTAAAACAAAAATGAACAGGCACCACCAAAAACCTGATGCCATGCAAAATGAAGAGTAGAGTGGATTAATTAGCTTAGGTGCTTAGGTTGATGTATGAAACTTAACATCTTACTATAAACTGGCTCCCTCTTAAAAAGTTCAGGAACAGTACAGTTAATGTAGGAACGCTCGAATTTGGCCTAACTTGAAACACTGGGAACAGATTGTGAACTGCAGGTACCAGAGCAGAGAACTGTAAGTGGGGGCTCTAGAAGCCTCGATCTTTCTCCTCCCAACTTACAGACTAAGACCATGATCTAAAGTATTGTAGATTCCAGGCAAGCTTATTATGACTGGACTCCATATGGGGCTTCATGCAATTTTTTTTTTTTAAGGCAAAAATTCTTAAGCCAAATAAAGTCTCCCCTATCATCAAAGATTTGCTGCTCTAAGAACTGTTCTTCAAGAGCCCTGGGTGGCTTTTGCTCTCCTGTGCTGCCCTGTAATGACCTCGGTCCACACCAGGAGATAAGCAGCATCGGAACAGCCTGGTACCCGCTGTGCGGGTGATTAGTGCCCTCGGTGTTAGAGTTCTGGACCTCCTCATCTGCCTCATCCCACACTTCAAGCCACTGCAGGAGGAGCAGGAATGTGGCATCCACTTCATGTTTAATAATTTATCTGATGATTTTTACTCTAGTCTCTAAATGCTATGGCACTAAACCTTAAAAGCCTATGATTGTTGTTCCGAAAGCCACATGCAGCGGTTGTGGCCAAAATAAATAATACATTCAATTACTGAGCATGGGAAGGCTAAATATAAATTAAATGAAGCTTGTGGAAATGGGCCACTGTTGTTCACCCCCCCCACCCCCACCTTAAACACCCTCCCTCTCAGCTGGTTAGAAAACAATTCTCTTCCCCCAGTCCACTTTCTGGCCTCCCTTGATCCAGCTTCAGTGGTATGTATCTTCTTTATCGGACAGTGGCTTTGCCAGCACTGGGTCCAGCCTGACGTTAAACTCCCATTGAACTCTCAGCCAGCGCTGTGTGGGATGCTGATGGAGGCTTTTTACAGGGGAGGCCCAGTTCTGGTCCTATGGACGTACTGAGGTAGTAGTACATAGAGTGGGATGTGGGGGGGATTTGTTTCAAAGCCACCCATTGTCCCAGTAGTGAGGAGAAATGGGGCTTGTGCCCCTCACCTGGAGATGCCTGTTTATCTTTGCTTTCAGCCACTTCATTAGATAAGTGCTTGCTCTTGTTTGTGAGTGGTTCTTCCCAGAAGATTATTACCAGGCCACAGCAGGAACAAATTTTTTTGCCCTTTACTTTTGTCTTGGTACCTTTATCTTTACAGTTTCTAATCTGAGAAAGGAGGATGGTTTCACAATGGAAGTCATGTTTCAGATGGGGCTTAGGAGGAGAACTTATCAGGCGGAGATGGGGAGGAGAGAAGGAACAGTTGGCGCTCCAGGTGGGGCCAAGGGCTTGAGCAAAGGCATGGGAGGTGGGGAAGCCCATGGTGTATTTGGCCAGCAGCGGGATGTCAAGATGAGTCCCTCACTGCTGGTCTCCCAATCTGGACTCTGCCACTCACCAGCAGGGTGCCCTTGGCCAAATTGGCCTTTTTGTGCCTCAGTTTCCTCATCTGTCAGGTGGAGGTGATGGCTATGGTACCTGTCACAGATTAAATGAGAAAACGTACTCAGAGAACTTGACTCACTGGCACACAGTAGCTGCTCAGTAAATATTAACCTCATAGAATTGTCTCTCAAAAGACAAAAGTATGCTGTGGAGTTCTCCATACAATGCCACCTCTGTGGTTTCAGGCTTCTGAAAGCAAACTTGTCCGAGGCACAACCTTGAGAAATCCACAGGAAAGATGATTATTCTTTGAAGATTAACCTGCTGAATTACCCTGGGGGAAAAAAATCAAAACGGGTATGCAGTTCCTCCAAAGACAAAACAGTAGAGAAAACAAGCAAAATGGTTTTGTTCTTTTATTAATAATAATGCTTTCCACTCCTATAGAATTGTCTCCCCCTCCTTTTAAGTTGTACATTTTTATTTATTTTTTGCATCTTTATCCTTCAGAGCTTACTCACAAGCCAGTTCTTAGGGAAAACCAGCCTTGGCCTCTCCACCCCTAAACAAACTAAGAGTGAGATCAGGTTATTCTAGATGTGTTATCTTGGCACTTTTCCCTCACTGGACTTAATGCTGTTTTATTTAGCAAGTTAATAAGTAAATGTCCACTTTTCTCCCTTGCAAGAGTATCCGCTCCATGAAATCTGACGTGTCTTGTTGGATGTTGCATCCCTGGCTCCTGGCATGTTGCCTACCACACGGGTGCTCAAGAGGTGCTGAATGAATGAATGGCAATCCTATGATAATAATGGTTGATAATTCTTAATAATATCAATACATGTAAAATGGTACCCAAGCTTTTCATTGTACGGAAATAACTACTAAGTAACCCTGCTGTTGAGAAGAGAGTCCCATCAGAGCCTTCTAGTAGGTTTTACATAACTTCTTTTCATAGTTTTAGGTAAAAGAAAACAAGTTAGGCTCAAACATATGCCAAGCTGTATAGACCTGTTGAATGAAGCTACTTTGCTGGTTTGGTCTGTGAGGAACCCAAAAAAGCAGAGGAGAGGCTGTGGCCTGCTACTAGGAGGCCCACTGACCACTGTGAACCATCACGGCTAATGGAGGTGGCCTGGATGGCAGGGTGGAGGAGAGAGAGCGTTTTTTATCCTCCTGGAGAATGATGGGTGGCTTGTGATGGAGAAAAGTATCCTCTATCCACTTACCAAGTCACTGGGGTTTATGCTTAAGGTCACATTTACTAGTTCTGTTGACAGGCCATCCTCTGAAGAATGTGTTTGATGTGACTGTTCTCACAAACCCTCTGGTGATCATGGACAAAGCAGGTTATTTTTGCCAGAACAATTTATGTGGGCACGTGGCATGAAACTCGTCATCCATGTTCACATGTCCATCCACTTTACAGAATACAAGGGCCTGGGATGGAGGGCAACCCATAGTGCAACCCACAGAAAAGGAGCAGGGCAAGAGTCTCCCTGTAAGTTCACTTAGCTCTTTATATTAGTAAATATCAACGATTTTCTTGTTCCCGCCAGCATTTCTTGGCCATTTTTTACACACAAGCCACTGTGCCAAGCATTGTGCCAGAAAAGGAATGCACTTTGAGACTGTGTGCTAATAGGGGAGAGTGAATCTGTTTACAGTTAAACAAGGCAGCTTGTGATAAATGTTGTGCAAGATTTCATAAAACGTGCGATAGAATTTTAAGGGAGAGAAAGCTGACCCTTTGGCTTAGAAGAGGAAAAAAAACACACACACACAAAGCTTTTCAAAACAGGTGGCATTGAGGAGCCTGGAGGAAAAGGAGGATCTTTATATGCTGAAATGAGGCAGAGGGCATTCTAGGCTGAGACAGCAGCCAGGTGCAAAGGCCTACAGGCTGGAAACAATGCATCTGGAAAGAATGGGTAAGAGATCAAGTTAGGAAGATAGTTTGGGGCCTGATGAGAACTGAAAATTCCTGCAAAGCTATCTAGTCTTATTCAGTATGTAGTATTTGCTTGGTGGTTTATGTTCATTTTACAGATGAGGATACTGTGGCTCAGAAGTGTGACATGACTTGCCCAGGACCGTCCAGCTAATAAGTGGCCTGATCTGACTTCAAGTGCTCTTTCCACCCCTGAGCTTCCCTGAAATGGGTTAGTTCCTCTAAACCCTAATACAAAGTATTATTTCTAACCCTGGGTGTATGTGGTTGCTGGAGATCAGTTGTTACAGATTGAACATTAGATAAGTTTATGTAGAAAACAACCAGAATTAAGATGAGGGTTAGTTAATCTTTTCTGCTTCGGGAAATCCAAACCTAATATCCGCAGAGACATCTTCACAACCTCCTGTGAGCCATTGCAGAGATGGTAGGAAGGTGTGTTCACTGTGCATTAGCCCCAAAGACAGGAGTCCGGTGACATGGGTAGCACATTGGACTGAGAAGTCACTTCTATGACCCCAGTGGACTTTCACAGTGTGTTGATAATCGGTGAATTGAAAAGGCATTCTGCATAAACCACATGGCAAAATCAAGGTTAGATTAAGCTGTCATTGATAACAATTAAGCATTAATGAATAAAGTATTTAATTGTTTCTGGGCATTCATATTTCTTTAAATCTTACTCTGTATACATTACATATTATCAAATTAGTGGCTCCTTCAGTCCTCAAACTTAACTGCTGTAATAACAAATTCTATTACAAAAACACAGTGTAGTCATAAATAGTGTTAAATCTCTATGGATAACTCACCTGTGGACGATCAATTGGCCATTTGGACTCTGAGGCTTTACCCAAAGGCAACCCTGTCACTTGGTGACAGTGCATCTTCAGTGCAGACCAAAGTTCAGCCTGCTGAAACAAAAATCCCATGGGCTGAGTGACTTCAGTGACAAACATTTGTCGCTCAGGGAAGCCCAAGACCAAGCTACCAGCAGATCAGTGTCTGACGAAGACTTCTTGGCTCATAGACTGCCATCTTCTCACTGTGTACTCACATGTGGAAAGAGAGAGTTTTCTCTGGGGCCTCTCATATAAGGGCACTGATCCCATTTGTGAGGGCTCCACCTCATGATTTCACAACTTAGTGTTCCCACCAGTACCATCTTTGGGGGTAGGATTCCAGCATACGGATTTGGGGGTAGGGTGGAAGGACATTAACAGTCCAAAATACAAAGTTTGAGGCGGTAAGCTGCGTCCTGACATTACATCTGTACAGTAGTTTCCATTATACTGATGTTGTCACTCCAAGCCTACACTCATCAAGAGACAGAAAATGTTGAAGACTGTAAAGATGTTTAGCAACAGGGTTGTTAGAACTTGTGGAGTGTAGCCAGAATCCCGCTTTGATCAAGTATATTCAAGGGACAGGAAGGAGTCTTTCACCTTCTTGTGATGTTTTGTCCCAAGAAATCACGATGCCCCCTTTCTTAGAGAGCTGGACCCAGGGCTCTCTGTCTCACGTGTCCAGGAGGGCATGTGATTTTGAAGGTGTGTTTGGGAGTGGAGTGGCTTCTGAGCTCTTGTTTAGCCCTGGGATTTTATGGCTCTGACAAGTAGTATAGACTTCCATTAGCAGTGACCTAATCTGTTATTTAAAAAACCAAACGCCACCTCTGAAGGTGGGTCATTGCTTCTTGACTGTGTGTTTAGATTCATGTGCTGAATCCTAGTCTGTGTTGACAATGCTGGGGACACAAAAGGATCACCTGACTCTCAGAGGTCACAAGTCTTGAGTTTATGTTACCATGTATGGAGGGTGTTTGGGGTACCGACTTGTTTCCCACTGAATAATAGACAGCTTGTACGTTACTTTAAATCTTAATGATTTTTACTAAAAAAATTTATTTCACGCTCATTTGAAAAAATTCCCACAAATTAAGAAGTACAGAAGTTAACAAACATAAAAGGCCTCAAAATAAAAGTCATCAGTAATCTGCTCTGTTTCCTCCCTTCGAAAAAACAGCCATTGTTAACATTTGGGATAGTTTTCTTAATTTTTTTTTTCTATAGGTTCATTTAGAAATACTCCTTCATTCTCATGCTTTACCTCTCTTCTGCTCTCCTTCCCTCCACTTCTATCTGTATTCTTATATATACACGTAGTCCCCACCACCCTTGGGAATGGGATTGTGTCTTCTGCAATGTTTTTATTTTTTCTTTAAAAATTTTTTAATGTTATTTTTGAGAGGGGGGTGGGTAGAGAGCGGGGCAGGGGCAGGGGCAGAGAGAGAGGGAGACACAGAATCCAAAGCCTGCTCCAGGCTTTGAGCTGTCAGCACAAAGCCCGACGTGGGGCTCGAACTCACGGACCGTGAGATCATGACCTGAGCCGAAGTCGGCCGCTTAACCGACTGAGCCACCCAGGCACCCCTTCAATTTGCTTTTTTCACTTAGCAGTAAATATTGGTCTTTTCTCCCCCTGCGCCTTCCCACTTAACCCATGTCAGTACATAAAGATCCACCCCATTCTTTGTAATGGCTGTCCAGTGTTCCATGTCATTTCCTTTTCTTTTTGGAAGTGCTATAAATTATTTCCCCAGCCCCCCTCCATTTTTCTCCTAAACTCCTATTGAAAAATATTTGGACCCTTTCCAGTTTTTTTGCTCTTGCCAACAATGAGCAACTGGCGTCTTAATCCTGAACATTTTGAAGGTTTTCAGTAGTTGTCGAATTGGTGGATATTTTAGTCTCTGAGAATGTGGAACCCTATCTGTCGTTCAGACAGAGTCCTATGTAGAGCCTTGGCGCACAAAACAGATAGGAATGGTCTATTCAGGCGAGTATGCCTGTGGGAGGCCACTAGCTATTGAGTTGCCTTCGGGGATCTGGAAAAGGCTTCAGAGCACAGGCTGAGACCTTCTAAAGCCTCCAGAAGAATCCATTCAAGTGGAGCTGTCTAGAGAGCTTGAACCCTGAATTATGCCTCACTTCATCAAGCAACTAATCAGAGAAGAACCTTCCTGGCGCATTGGCTGTGGGGAGCAGGCCAGTACCTGGGCCTCTGGAAGGTGTGTGCCACCCTTAGTGCCTTGCTTGATGCACACGAGGAGGGTGGATGTCCCTTGGAGCAGCAGGAGTCTGGAGTCCCTGGGCTGTGGGTGGACGCCCACCCCTGGTTAAGAAGGAAGGGGTTACTATTCAGATACCCCCTTTGATCACCTGCCTTGTCTACCTTACAGCCTCACTTGTTCTTTTGCACATTTCTGTGATTGAAAAGTTTAAAACATTACATGCCTTTGTATGTATGCTAAAGAAAAATTATTTTTAGAAATGTAAATTAAAATTCCAAGCAGTAAGTTAGCGGTAAGTGAAAGATCCCAGTTTCTTTCACCCTCAGCCACAATTCCTATATCACAGTTAATACTTTGGCATTCTAGTGCCTCACTTATTTTTATGCATCTACGTAAGGATATACCCGTTTTTCTTACAAAGATAGGATCCTGCTGTACACAGGTATATAACGGTTTGTGCTTAAAATATCATAGGCATCTTTACATAGATGTACCGTGTTCTGTTTATTAGCCACATCATTTCCAGGATATGACAATGCAACAGTTTGTTTTTTATTTTTTTAACATTTTATTTTTATTTTTGAGAGAGAGACAGCATGAGTAGGGGAGGGACACAGAGAGAGCGAGACACAGAATCTGAAGCAGGCTTCAGGCTCTGAGCTGTCAGCACAGAGTCTGACACGGGGCTCGAGCTCGTGAACCACAAGATCATGATCTGAGCTGAAGTCAGATGCTTAACCGACTGAGCCACCCAGGTGCCTCCCCTGACCCCATTCTTTATCTTGGGTAACGAGGTTCAGTACATTTAAGGCAGGACCTAGGAATTTGTATATATTTTTTAAGTAACAGCTGAGTGAGACCTGATAGTTCATGTATCATAAAATCCATCCTTCTACTAAGTGTACAATTCACTGGTTTTTAGGACACTCACAGAGTTGTGCAACTATCATCACTAATTCCAGCACATTTTTATCACCCCAAAAGGAAACCCTGGACCCACTGAGTAGTCATTCCTTTTTGCTCCTCCTTCAAGCTCCAGGCAGCTGCCCGTCTACTTTTTGTTTCTATGGATTTGCCTGTTCTTATTATTTTATATAAGTGCAGGCTTACAATACAGGTCTCTTATGATTGATTCCTTTCATTTAGGATATGATTTTAAGGTTCGTCCGCATTGTAGCCTGTATGTAACATGTGTACACAGCATCCATGCACACTTAAAGTTGGAGGAACCGCCAGGTCCTGCAGAGTACTTCCCATCGGCCATATTAGGCCTGGGAACCTGTATTTTTAGCAAAGCTTCTGATGCTTCTGCTAAAGCAATTTTGGAAAACTGGCTTCTCGAGCAGCTCAGCCCCTCGTACTGAGAGCAGGGACGGTGGCTCTGCTTGCCCTTCACCCAGAACCCGGCAGCGCTGAGGGACATGTTGGCTCTGGCACAGAAAACAACAGAATGCTGCTCTGCAGAGGAGTGGACACCCCACGAAGAAGGATCTCACAACAGAATGGACGTGGGTCCGGCCAGGCAACCCTGAGTGGTAGTTTTGGTTTTTATTTTTAATTCCTTTTTTAAAGTAAGATGTGGAAAAGAAGCCCGGTTGTCCAGTGAAACCTCAGAAGATCCAGTGGAAAAAGATAAAGCATAGGGAGGCTGGTACATATGCTTGCTTTTCCCTCCCCCCCCCCCCCGGCCCCCCCCCCCCCCCCCCGGTGAAACAGGAATAATAGTGTTTATGGATTGGAATCGGATTTCTCCTTTTTCTGTAGGTCTTGTACAAAACAAAACAAAACACATGTAGCCCATTTTATCTTGGACTGTCTTCCAGGGCTTTTAATAGCCACAAAAGTGTTCTATGGTATTGACGTCATTATTCTGAACTCTAGGAGGAAAAACTTTTCATATAAAATAGGATTTGAGCTCTAATTACGAGATCAAAATTGAGAAGTCTCCTGGATAAGATTTTATATATGGAGTAAGTCTTCTAAGGATAGAAATAAAAATCTGCTTTGGAACACTCTGGAACATTGCCCCAACCCCTAAATAACTGTTTATTTTAGCCCTCTCCTTTGGAATGGGAACTGAGTGGGGGGCGTTTGTGAGGAACAGGGTGCCCTGCACAAAGCTGCGCCCTCTTTAATGAGGCATAATAATGGGCACTTTTCTCGTGGCCACTTGGTAACAAGCACATAAATAGAATAAATAAATGGTCTTTGGCGTTGTTCTGAGCAGAATTTCCATTTCCGCTGAGAGAAGCTCTTCACCTTGTTCATTACGGACTTAATGTTTTCACCAGAAAGCAGTTCCTGTAGAGCCATGGGGACAGAGAGCTTTTCCCACAGAAGGAAGACAGCCAGAGCCGGCGTCCAGGCCTGCCTGTTCCCAGAGAGCTGAACCTCAGCGCTCGATTCAGCTCTGTTTCTTGTGTGGTGTGGTTACGAATGAGGAACATAAAATGTATCATTGTAAGCATTTTTCAGCGTACAATTCATTGGTTTTAGGTACATTCACAATGTCATGCGACCCTCACCACCATCCATTTCCAGACCTTTTCATCCCTCCAAACCCAATGCAACCTGTACCCTTTACACAGTAACTGGGGAGAGGGGAATATTCTACTTTCTGTCTCCATGCAGTCAATAAAAGCAAAATCCTACCTCATAAGAGCAAAATCCTACAGCATATGTCCTTGTGTTGGACCTGTTTCACTTGGTGTAGTGTTTTCAGGTCGGACCTGTTTCACTTGGTGTAATGTTTTCAGGGTGCATTATCCATGTTGTAGCATGTATCAGAATCTGCTTCCTCTTTAAGGCTGCATAATAATCCTGTTGTATATATGTTCTACGTTTTCCTATCCGTTCACCTGTTGATGGACGCTAGGGTTGTTTCCACCTTTTGGCTAATGTGAATAATGCTGCCGTGAACATTCATGTACAAGTATCTGTTTGAGTCCCTGCTTTCATTTCTTTTGAATTTGAACCTAGAAGTAGGATTGCAGGCTGAGAGCATAATTCTATGTTTGACTTTTTGAGGGACCACCAAAGAGTTTCCCACGGCAGCTGCACTGTTCTACTTTCCCACCAGCAGCTTCTCTACATCTTTGCCAGCACTTGTTACTTACTGGTTTTTGTTTTTGTTCTTTGTTTTTTTATGATGCCCATCCTGAAGTTTTCTCCCAGTGATGAAATCTCTGGGGGATTGCACTGATTTGCATTTTCCCAATGATTATTGATGTTGAGCATCTTTTCATGTGCTTGTTGACCATTTGTGTATTTGGAAAACTGTCTGTTCAGGTCCTTTGCCCATTGTTAATCAGGTTACTTGTTTTGCTGTTATTGGAGAATTTCTTTATATATTCTAGATATAAACC